ACCTACCAGCTCCAGGTCTTGTACTATGTAAATGTCAATACATGGCACGGGGCTGCTTCCAAAAAAGAGGCAATGACATCTAGCACATGCAGGTCAAATGGCTACTGCAAAACGTCACTGGCTTCAGGTGCTTAAGATAGGAGTTTGATCTGAGTCAGCGATGGACGTTCTGAAGATCTTTGTGTCTACCAGTCCTGGGCTTCCAAAATATCTACTCCTCTCTGTACAAGAGCAATTTTGCTAGCCACTAGTCTCATACAAATAAGTTTCCTCTGCTAAGTTCTCCCTAGTCACACAGGCAGCCCAAGACTAACTCCCTGTGAGTCGACTCACTTCTCAAGAGGCTCTGTTCAAAGCAGCTGTGAGAGAAGAAAAGAGAAATCTCTTTTAAAGAAGAAGATACTCAACCTGTTGATTTGGTCCTATAATATATCCCAAAGAAATTACAGCAGTGGAACAATACAAAAGGCTTCATAGAAAAAAAGGGGCTCCCAGAGTCTTACTAATCATCCTCCTGATGCCAGCCATGGAAAAAGTTAACACCTGTTCTTTGACTACAATTTTTATGAGCAACATAGCAAGTGCTTTTCAGGATCCAGACAATTAGAGACAGCTATTGAGCCACTCCTCCTGACACCTACCTTTTCTTTTGGAAGAAGAACACACCAGTAGTACATGTCTCTCAACACCAGGACTACTTGGTTTCTCCTGTTATTCCCACTGATGTCATTACATCCTTGTTCTAGACAACACCTTCAGAAATTAGAATATTTTTGTAACATACATCACAAGCTAACCATTAAAAAGCCTTAAAATCCAGCAACTGTGCATTTAGTGCATAAATTAAGTAAACAGATAAGACTCAGAAGTTACATTGCCTCTGATGTCCCATGACCTCCACTGTCTTTCAACAGCCCTCTCACCTCTGTGTGAGTGACAGACATGAAAATATCCTCCTGCTTAGTCTTCATATCTTTCCAAGACATCATAATTTTCCTTCCATATGTCATTTACCAGGTCTCCTATTTTAGTATTGCTATTCTCTTTTCATTAGTAAACCCTTCCACAGATTATATCATGGTTGTGGGAACTGAAATCTCCCAAGCTCTATATGTGGGAGGACCCAACCTCCCACATTCCCTAACAGAGAACCATCATTCATAGCAGACTAACCATTAATCTTGCAGAGCTGAAGTTTTACACATGGAACTCCTTGCCATAATACACCACACAGGCAAAGATTAATGGAAGATCAAAAAAGAACTGTCTCTCTGTGTGGATAACAAGAATTTCCAGATAGAGGGAATCAAAGACTAAGGCTCTGACTAGTTGGAGATAAATGCTCTCTCCCTTGACTCTTCCCAGCCTTTAAGAGCAATGCTTTTCTCCCTTCAAAAGCATTCCACTGAACACAATGGTATTGAGTTCAGGCCTCCAGCCTCCCTTGCACAGTCCCTGTCTTACATTAGCCACAGATTCACTTTTGTCTGAGGCAGCACAGCTGGACTCTGGAGTCTCACAGGAGAAGAGGAGAGCAGCAGAACCAGCTCCCTCAACCTGCTGGCCACACGGCTTTTAACACAGCACAGGATGCAGTTGGCTCTCTGGGCTGCAGGCACACATTGCCAGCTCATGTCCAGCTCTTCACCCACCAGTACCCCCAAATCCTCCTCCAGGGCTGCTCTCAATCCCATCATCCCTCAGCCTATACTGATATGTGCACCAACACAGGTGCAGGACCCTGCACTTGGCCTTGCTGAGCCTCATGAGCTTCATATGGGTCCACTCCTCACGCTTGTCCAGGTCCCTCTGGTGTGTCAACTGCACCCTTCAACTTGGTGTCACCTGCAAACTTGCTGAGGGTGCACTCAATCCCACTATGTCATTGATAAAGATTTTAAACAGCACTAGTCCCAGTACAGACCCCTGAGGGGTATCACTTGTCATCAAGCTTCATCTGGACATCAAGCCATTTACCACTACCCTCAGAATGCAACCATCCAAACAATTCCTCATCCAACCAACAGTCCACCCATCAAATCCCTGTCTGTCCAATTTAGAGAGAAGGATGTCATGGGGGACCAGGTCAAAGACTTTACAGAAGTCAAGATAGAAGACATCCATAGCTCTTCCCTTGTCCACTGATGTAGTCATTCCATCACAAAAGGCCACTAGAATGGTCAGGCAGGACTTGCCCTTGGTGAAGCCATGCTGTCTGCTTGAACCATCTCCCTGACCTCCACGTGCCTTAGCATAGCTTTGAGGATCTGTTCCATAATATTCCCAGGCACAGAGGCAATACTGACAGGTCAGTAGTTTCCAGGGTCCTCTTTTCTACTCTTTAAAAATGAGTGTAATGTTTCCCTTTTTCCAGTCACCAGGGACTTCACCTAACTGCCAGGACTTTTCACAGGGCTCTGTGCTGACTCTTCTCTGTCCCAGCTGCTTGGCTTTAGTAAAAACATTTGACCAGATTTCCCCAGTGTTATTTTTCCAGGTCAACAATTGCTCCAGTTGCCATGGGACACTGCCTGATCTTGAATGAGGGAGGTGCCATCTCCTAATTATAAGAAATTTTGAATTAGGGAGAGTGGGAAAGCAAGGCAGATTATGAGACACTGAAAGGCAGTTTTGAGCTATGGAACAACATGAGAAAGAAGGAAGGAATGAGTCAAACAGATCTTCAAATTAACATCTAACTCCTCTCTCCAGTTGTCCTTTAAATTTTATTTTAGAGTTATTCAGCGTTAGAGGCACATTTCATGCTAACATGACAGGCTGTAATGCTTGCTCTCTCCTCAAGAAAAGCAGCAGAGTTAGAGATTAAGTTCAGTTCAGCCTTCAAACATCCACAAATGAGCTACGACTGCCCAGACTAGATGTGGGTTTTACAGCTGGGGTCCTTCAACAGCTAAACGTGCAGCCAGAAGAGTCCTAGGTTTGG